CAAGCATCGCCTTAGTGCTGGGAGGCAGTACATTTCTGAGACGGTACAGAGACCGCAGCGATCCGGTAACTTTTTGACTCACACTGGCAGTTTGACTTCGCCAACTGAGGGTACTGTCAATATGTATACCCAGGTCCTTGACGCTCTCACTATATTGGACAGGCGTCCCGTTGTACAGTACGGGCGGTAGTATAGTGAAGTTGATTTTGGCCATACTTTTACTACTACCAATAATAATCGCTTGACATTTGTCAGGATTGACAGCGATTCCAAACCTCTCGGACCAACTCTTAATAGCAGCCAAATCACGGTTGATTTTGGCGATGCACTGGTCCAGATCAGCCACTACTCCGTGACAGTACACCTGTAAGTCGTCGGCATACAGATGATACGCACACTGAAGATCAGAAGTTATAAGATTGATAAAAATAGAAAACAGAAGAGGAGAAAGTATGCCGCCCTGTGGAACGCCATTGTGCAGTGTGGCCCAACCCGATGACGTATCATCAACCTGCACCATCTGCTGACGCCCACGAAGGTATGAAGAGAACAATTCCAGTGCTCCATCAGAGACCGACAGATAGGCCAGGACAGCTAAGAGGATATTGTGACTGACCATGTTAAAGGCGTTAGAGAAATCAACCAGCACCAGAACAGTCACCTTGGCGTCCTCCATTGCTGCCCTAACATCGCCAGTCACTTTAAGGAGTGCAGTGACAGTGCTATGACCAGGCCTGAATCCAGATTGCAGTGGTGAAATAAGTGAGTTCCGATATATGAAACCGGAAAACTGTCGATGAACGCAGGCCTCGAGCACCTTGGATAGGAAAGGAAGGATAGAAATGGGACGAAAATGAGAAGGGACAGTGGGGTTGGTGACTTTAGGAAGAGGCCGAATATATGCTCTCCGCCACAAGGATGGGAAAGTACAGGAAAACAAAGAGAAATTTATTATATGGGAAATAGCCGGTAGGATGTGATCCAGTATTGTGGTGATCATGAAACGAGAAATGTTATCACATCCCACCGCCTTCGATTTAATGGATAATATTATCTTACCGATCTCTTCAGGTGCAACTGGAATAAATTGAAAAGAATTGCTAGTATTAGAGCCCGTCATACCAGAAATGAAGGCCAGTGTCTGTTGTTCAGTGTACTGATCTAATGTGTGGGTCGAGGAAAAGTGACGATTCAGATCATCTAATCCAACTGAAACCGAGAAGTCAGAATTGCGCGATCTGCCAATACCTAGAGTTCCAAGGAATTTCCAGATATTGGCAGAAGACTCAGAAGTAATGTTTTCAAGAATATTTATTTTGTCGTATAATAAAACAATACTTAGATAAAACGAATCAAAGTTTAGGAGTGGGGGCTAAAACGTCATTACTACGTATAAAATGTACACAGAAGTGACGTCACGCGACATTTCAAATCAATATATCGTCGAAAGTATTCGTTTCTGTAAGAAAATAAAAAATACGTGTCTGATGATTTAAAATAATCTACTCGACGGACATTAAACTGTCAAACACCAAGCGCTCACCGGTGACCGCAACCTATTGTTCTATAATTGTGTCTACAAAACCGGTACTCGACGAGTTAAAATAAAAATTTGGCATCTACCCTATTACTTCTCCCGCCTTGGGTTAGGCGACAGGGAGTGTCAGACTTTTACTGACTAAAAACCAGCCCGTTCCTACTCCTGCACTTCGAGCCGGGGCCTCGGCAACCCGCCTTCTGCGGCTCCGTAACGATGTGTTTTTACGTTTTTATATTTCTACATGATTGAATGATTGAAAGGCAAGGTTTGATTGGCTACCTTGACTTTCATTTATCCATCCTGAATAACTTGAGTTTTTTATCAGCAAAATAATATGTACTTACCATTGAGACTGTACAGTCACACTCATTGGTGAACAGTTATTGGTTCATCCCCTTTGAAATTATACAACCTAAGCATGTTTTTATTATAACTATCGTGTGACATACTGAATTAACTAAAAATTATGAGTTACTCACATAAATATACTGAAAAAAGCTCTTCTAGTTGAGTAGGCTGCGCGACATCGCTGCGACCGCGCACGCTGCTCATGGGGAAGAGTCCTTCTGTGAGTCGAAACTAGAAGAGCTCTCTCTCAGTATATTTATCTTTTACCTAAGCATAATTGAAATTAGCGAAAATGGGTGTTGTAGTTACGTTTGCCTAATACAAAAAAGTCTAGGTTAAACGAAATGGTTTTACTCCAATAAAGTTTTGCTATTCTATCTACATTATATTCTATATTTTATTCTATGCATATAATAAAATCGTAGAAAAGTCAGAACTGTACTTTGAATATTTTTTAAAAAGAATACTCGGGGTGTGATCTACAATCGATACCGAAGCCAAAAGTATGGTTTTTAGAATTTTGGTTTGTTTGTCTGTTTGTCTGTATGCATGTCCGGGATGATCTCCAAAAGTACTGCATGGATTTACTTCAAATTTTGCATGAATATTACTAACAGGTCGGGTCAACATAAAGGCTACATATTATCACGCTATCATCTATGGGGGAGGAGCTGTCAATCAAAACTCCATGCGAACGTAGTTGCAAGCAACTGCTAGTAGTCAAATAAGACATATTACCTTTTTTGTTTTACTTATTTATTGAAGTGGTTGTTTTTGCTTCGATGTTAAGATCACTTAATGTAGCCACTTATATACTAATAGGTACTTAAGTATAGAATTTTTTATGGTTTGGTTAGTAAAGTTGGTTGAGGGTTATAGTTTGTGGTTTTAGTTAGGCTACCTAACTACTTAAGTATAAGACTTATACACGGATTTTAAAATTAAAGTACCTACAAGGATTAACCAAAAAGTAACAACACACCTTTTATCCCCCAAGCCAGACAGAGGTGCACATTACGGCACTTAATGCCACTGTACAATGTAGCACCCATTTCTCACTACAAAACCCCAGTAGTATTTCGGCCGACCCGGAAATCCTACCCGAGATCCTTTGCCCGGCAGTCACACTTGCGCCCACTCAGCCAACGAGGGAGTTTGAATGTTTAATAATTATGTATTTTAATTCAAAAACGCTGCTGTGCTCTCAATCTTAAATCAGCAGAAATAGTAGGAAAAAATATTCTACAAAATAAAATCTGAAGATTACCTAATCATCAAAGTTTTTATCTATCATTAAAACTTCACTAATTTCTCCCATTGACTACACCGAAAATCTCCTGCCATCTATATTTAAGGTAATGAACTATTACGTCACAGGCGTATAATCAAATACCGTAGGACGGAACTGGTCCCGATGAGATTAGCAGACGAGACTAGAAAGTTAATATTGTTAATGGTTAAGCGAATTGCGAGAAGGAAATTGCGTCCCACTTGGGATAAAATTTGGTTGATTGAGCACTGGGTTATAGGTTAGCGCTGATGTCTCTTGAACGAGGATTGGAGGTAGATATTTATATATGTATATAAGTAAATGAAACATGTAATCTGAAACCCTTGAACAGATTTTGATAATACTTTATTATTTTAGGGGGACATCCACGACATTTATATTATGTCCGCAAAGTACATAAAATTTTTGGGTCAGGTACCCAACCCAAACATTTTATAATTCTTAACTGTCGAATAAAATTGACATTTGGTGGTTTTTAGTATGGACGAATTGTCAAACGTTCAGAGTTATTTCTCGGAAAAACGGCCCCATATTGTGTGCCTTTTAAAAACGTGTTATTGGTTGTATTTGTTGATTGTACACGTATAACCTAAATCTTTTTTTTTTTATGTTGCTCCACATTAAGATTTTCTCCTGTGTCGTGGGTACGTTTACAAACATACAAGTTCACATACACAATGACACCCACACCCGGAACAACAATTTGTGGATCACACAAAGTGTTGTTCCGTGCGGGAATCTAACCCGCGACACGTTGCACAGCAGCCGGTTGCCCAGCCACCGCACCAACCGTGCATTCAAGACAACAAGACAAGCGCCAGAAATAAATAATTATCTTGTGTTGCATTTAAGGTGCTCGTCATGTTCGCAGGTTTAAGTATAATATGTGTTGTACAAGCGATTTTGAAAATCTAAATGTGTTCATCCATTTATGATGCTGACTGTACTTTGTATTACTTTTGTTAAGTTTCCAAAAAAAGACGTTTGCAATTTAAAAAATATATTTCACTAAAATTAAAAACGAATTCCATCACGTGACACAAGAACATTGGATGGGTCCGAAACTTTTGAGTGAGAATTGGAGTTTCGGAGCATCCAAGATAGACTAGTAATAATGGCATTAAACGTTGGACGATGCAATAGTGTTTTGGATCCAGTCTATGTATTTAGCCACGGAGGTATAGACTCCTGGCCAGCCGTCTTCACCGCAGCCATAACCGAAGGACACGATACCGACAGCCTCCCAGATTCCATCTGGAGTCTTCTTCATCAGAGGGCCACCGGAGTCTCCTCTGCACGTGCTCTTTGAGAATATTCCTCCAGCACAGATCTGTTTATCACTAAGAATGGCACCAAGTCCTTTGTATTTATCGTCACATTCTTTCTTGTTGAATATTGGGATATTAAGCTTCAGTTTTATGGGACTGTTGCGACCTGTAAATAAACGAATGTTTTAATTACGCCGATTTTATAAATGAATCGTTTTGCATTGACTGTCGAGTGGTTGCAAATACTAATGTCAAGCTCAAAGGCTTTGAGATTTTCATGTAGGTACTTTTAATTATAAACATTTTACATGCAAAACAAGACTATAACAACTCGGAGACCGTAGTATAATTATTATTCTGAGTCATAACAATCAACGAAAATGCGAGCCGACCTTGCGTTCAAATTATACGTAAAACCCGACACTACCGATTTGTTTATAAACCTAATCCGTAGAATTAGTGGGAATTGGAAAGTACCTGTTTAAAATCGATAGTAATTGTGTACGTACCGTTCAGGGTTTTACCCCATCCAGCGACGTACACATCGCTGCCGGTGTCCAAACGTGCTCGGTTATCTATCAGACAGATTGGCTGGACGTAGTCTGGGAAATAAAAGGTTATAATTGTCAAAATAGATAAAAAAACGACCGCCTCGTTGGCCAAGTAGTCGCAAGTGCGACTGCCAGGCAAGGGGTCGATTCGAATCCCGGGTCGGGCAAAGTATTATTGGGTTTTAAAAAAAATCTCAGTAGTAGCATGAAGTCTGGAATTGTGCCCGGTATATGGCAATAGGCTCACCCGCTGTTACATGGGACTCATAACATAAATAGTGAAAAGTGGATGTTACGTCTGTGTGCACCTCTGCCTAACCGTTCAGGGATAAAAGGCGTGATGTTATGTTATGTTATGTCAAAATAGATATCCAAAGGAACAACTGAAACCTCCTTTTTAACTAATAGCTCAATCATTTGGTAGTTCGTTCTACCTGAAATATATTCCGATAGCTTTGAAAATTGGCCGTATTGTGGATCTTGGTGTGCTCTTTTCTATTTCCATTTTGCTTTCCGATTTTTAGAAAAGTGTTTATTACATTTGGGTGTAGGTTTTAATATATTAAACTGTCAAACACCAAGCGGTCACCGGTGACCGCAACCTATTGTTCTATAATTGTGTCTACAAAACCGGTACTCGACGAGTTAATTAAGTGACTTAAAAAAAAAACAGGGTCATGAAATCAGTTTTTTTAACCATAGTTTAGATTATAAACATACCTAGGAAAAGAAGCATTAAAAGAAGGAAAGTTTTTTCGCGGTCGGCATTGCAAGTGGAAGGACGTTTTTTCTGTTAAATTATAAATTAATATTGCGAATTTAAATATACCACCCTTTTAGTATTTAGACTATTTATATCTACTGTAATAATATTAGTGAGCATACTTACGCCTGTAATAACCCTGGGCAAATAAAACCAACTTGGCACGCCACCTGCCAGCTCATCAACAGAACTTTATTGAGTACCACAATCACAGTTATCACAGTTATCACAAATCACCATGTCTGAAATAGCCGAAGTCCGTTCAACACAAAAATCCTTGGAGGAAAAGTTCACACCACTGCAAGAGCTGGTTGTGAATCAGTTGGAGGCAGTCAACGCTCAGATCGAGGCGGCAGGCTCCGGAAAGGACACACTTGCGAAGCTGGCAGATGAGTTTCGAACCTTCAGAGTACTCATGTATAGCGTGCTGGGCACCATGCGCCGCCAGCTCACTGAGTGCTCTCAGCAGATAGATGATCTCGCAACAAGGAGCCGTCGAAAAGCGTTGATCATCCATGGAGTTCCTGAAAAAGAGGGCGAGGACTGTAAAGGGGTAACTTTGGATATTTTTAATAGAAACCTGGGCCTCAAACTCACCTCATCATCTGTCAAGGTTTCGCACAGACTGGGGCAGACCAGTGCGGATCACCACCGGCCTCTTCTGGTCCGGTTTGCCAGTGTGGATATCAAACAGTCTGTCTGGCGGGCCAAAACCGGATTAAAGGGTACGAAGATTGCCATCAGAGAGTTTCTGACCCGTGAGAGACAGTGTGTCTTTGCAAAAGCACGACAGCACTTCGGCGTGAGGTCTTGCTGGACACAGGATGGTGTAATCTTCGTCAAGGCCTCAGATGGGAAGCGGTGTAAAGTGTCTTCGATGGATGAGCTGAAGCCTCTGCTAGCCAAGTACCCAAGGACGCAAAGCACTTCATCATCCAGTACCAAGCGTGGTGCGGAGGAGGTTGGCGGAAGTCTGAAAGCGAAGCGCAGCTAAGTATCAGCCTGGTATTCACACGGTATATAATAGAGCCACCAAACAGATTGTTCTCAGTACTTACTGTGTGTTTGTTCCATCGGATTTGCTTTGGCTTCCGTATTAAACTGTCCAACACCAAGCGGTCACCGGTGGCCGCATACTATTGTTTTATAATTGTGTCTATAATGACGGTACTCGACGAGTTAAATCATTTTGTATCTTTCTTTGTCATCTGTTAACTCTTCAGGTAGGAGGTATCTTTTTAAGTTTGCATATTTTGTATACCTCCTACTATTATTATTGTAATGTAACCGTCGTTGGCATGATTCACTGTCCCTTTGTTTGCTTATGGATTTGTACAACATTATATTAATTTTACATACACCGTCATTTTGAAACACTAATTTATACGTAATTCAACAATAAATAATATTGTGTTGACAAATAGCATGTCATCTCTTTGTGACCGTGACGGATGACATAACGCTGTTTGACACTTGACATAGTATGACGTTTCAAGTTAATGTTGCGTCTGTGGTTCTGGTTTTGGTTTTGTGTTGTGCGTTTTGTTATCATTGTTGAAATGGAAGGCATAGTCTTGATTTGTATTTTTATTTTCTTTTTAATACGTTTTGTTGTCTTTCATTAATCGTCTTTTTTTATTGTGTTTTTTTAGGTACCCAAATTACTAGCAATTTTTTGTTTTAATTTTCGGAATGTTGATGTTAGCTGGCGGGTGGTGCAGAGTTTATCCTGAGTATTCTTTCATTTATAGCAAGCATTATAGTTTCCATATAATAAAACGTTTGTTCCTAATACTATTTACGATCTTCTGTATTAAAAGTATATTTATTATTATTTAAATATTTATTTCATATATTTATTTTATTATTATTGTTATTTGTCAATGTCCAGTGATGATTCTTTTGCGTCAGCCAACTCATTATCTGATAATGATAGCTTTTGCTCTTTGAATGCTTCTCTGCATGATTTTATTCAAAGTCGTTTTACGGATGGCAATAATCATGTGCTAAATGTATGTCACATAAACGCGCAAAGCATTCCTAGCCACCACAACGAACTTTTTGATGCATTCAACAACAGCAACGTCCACGCCATCCTGATATCTGAAACCTGGCTCAAACCACAATTGTTGTCAACAACCTACCCCCTTCCAGGTTATATTCTTATACGGAACGACCGGACTGTTAAAAGAGGGGGTGGGGTAGGTATATATCTCCGTAGTGAGTTTTCTTACAAGGTGCTCTCTTCTTCTTCTCCCAATTGTCCTGCGGAGTATCTTTTTCTTGAGGTTTGTAGCCGGGGGGGGAAAGTTGTGTTAGGTGTTGTCTATTGTCCTCCTACTAATGATTATTTCACTGACTTCGAATCAGTTCTTGAATCATTGGGTTCCGAGTACACTCACCACATAATCATGGGCGATTTTAACACCAACCTTATGTCCCACGCCTCTCCTCGTTCCCGCAAACTCCTGCATATAATCGAGTCAGCGAGCTTGCAGCTGTTACCGCTTAACCCCACTCACCACACTACAGTCGGCGAAGACTCCTGGCTCGATCTTATCCTCATTTCCAATCCCTCTCTCGTTTCTTGTCATGGACAACACGACGCTCCGGGTTTCTCTCACCATGACATGATTTTCTTGTCCTATATCCTAAAACCGCCTAAGGTGAGACCCAAGGTGTTGTACCGGCGTTGCTTCGCGCGGATGGACAAATCTAAACTCCAGAAAGACGCGTCCTTGATCAACTGGGAGCCACTGATGGAAGCATCTTCAGTGGATGATAAAATTGCGTACTTTAACGCGGTGATAACTAGCGTGTATGATCTTCATGCTCCCATCAAGAAAGTTAGGATTAAACGACCACCGGCTCCGTGGATGACGCCTGGTATTAGAATGGCGATGCGACGTCGTGACCGCGCGTTCCGCAAGCATCGAAGAGATCGTACGGAGGATAACTGGGCTGCCTTTAAGACCGCGAGAAACAGATGTAACCAGATGGTACGTGACGCTAAACGCCGCCACGTTCTTGAAAACATATCTTCCTCTTCTTCTGCCGATATCTGGAAATTCCTTGGAACTCTAGGCATCGGCAAAACGCAATATCCAGACCTACCCAGCACAATTGGATTGGACGATCTTAACAACCATTTCGCTACCGTCCCTGTTATGGATCGTCTAATGAAAGAACAAACCTTGTCGTACATAGCTGGTCTGGCGCGTCCCAATATTTCTGATCCTTTCTGCTTCACACCGGTTCAATTGGCGGAGGTCGGAAAGATTATCCTATCCATAAAATCCAAAGCTGTAGGATGTGATAATATCTCTCGAGACATGATCATAACTATACTAGATCACATCTTACCAGCAATAACCCATATAGTAAATTTTTCTCTTTTTTCAGGAACCTTTCCATCCCTCTGGCGCAGAGCCTTTGTTCGACCTCTTCCTAAAATCTCTAATCCCTCTCTTCCCACTCATTTCCGTCCCATCTCCATACTTCCTTTCCTTTCCAAAGTGCTTGAGGCCTGTGTCCACAAACAACTGGCTGACTTTATTTACAAAAATTCGCTCATAAGTCCCCTTCAATCTGGTTTCAGGCCGGGCCACAGCACGGTTTCCGCTCTCCTTAAGGTGACTGGCGATATTAGAACTGGTCTCGAGAGCACTAGAGCCACAGTTTTGGTTTTAGTTGACTTCTCGAACGCCTTCAATATGGTCAGTCACGACATCCTTTTAGCCATCCTTTCCCATCTAACGATCTCTGACAAATCATTGAACTGGTTTTCATCTTATCTTCGGGCCCGCCAGCAGTCTGTCAAGCTTGATGATACTTCATCGGGTTGGCGCGAATTAACGGCTGGTGTTCCTCAAGGCGGCATACTATCACCTCTTTTATTCTCTATCTTCATTAATCTCATTACTTCTGAACTTCAGTGTGCGTACCATCTATACGCTGACGATTTGCAACTGTACTGTCAGGCCAGTGTTGACAGACTCTCTGATGCGATCTCGGAGATGAACGGTGACCTGGTATCCATCAAGAACTGGTCCGAGAGATTCGGTATATCAGTTAATCCCGGCAAATGCCAGGCTATTATAATAGGTAGCTCCCGTACGCTGGGTGGAATAGACCGAGCATCATTACCAGCCGTGCTCTTTGATGGTGCAGTAATCCCGTTTGGTACTGACGTCAAAAATCTGGGTTTGCATATTGACTGCAATTTAAAGTGGCATGCTCAAATCACAAATGTATGCAGGGGGGTTACTGGATCATTGCGTGCTCTGTATCGCGTAAAAAATTTGCTTCCTCCCGCTACGAAGGCCATGTTGGTGCAAGCCTTGGTTTTCCCTATCATCGATTATGCTGATGTCTGCTACTACGACCTGAATGCAGATCTCCTCAATAAGCTCGACCGACTTCTAAATAACTGCATCCGATTCGTTTTCAACCTGCGTAAATACGATCATGTTTCTGCACATCGGTTGCAACTAAAGTGGCTGCCCATACGCCAGCGCAGGGAGCAAAGGGCGCTAACCACTCTATTCTCCTTTCTTTCTTCACCTTCTTCACCCAGTTATCTATCCCCTTACTTTCAATACTTATGCGCAAACCACAGTAAAAATCTTCGTTCTTCTCACAACCGTCTTCTCCAATGTCCCACTCATCGCACTGACTTCTTACATTCATCCTTTTTCGTACAGGCAATTTTTCTGTGGAATGCGCTCCCCCTGGATGTCAGGATGGTCTCAACTCGACTAACTTTTAAGCAGAAAGTACGTGAGCTTTTCCTAAAGAGGTTGGCTGAATCATCGCGCTAACTATCCACTGTGTACTAGTAAGCAAGTATATATTTATATATTATGTATATATGTATGTATGTAGGCATATTGTACTCATGTGTAGGTATACATTATAATTAAATTTATTTATGTATGTATATCTCCGAAATATATTAGTTTATCTTTCATTGTTAAATAAAATCACTGCTTGCCTCTTGCACCTACCATTTACTCTTCTCTGCATCACCCAAAGGTCAGACTGGTAGAAAATGCCTGCGGCATTAAGTCCACCTTTTTGTACATTTTGTGCATGAAGCATTTTAAATAAATAAATAAATAAATAAATAAAAGAAGTAATAATTTAAATGTTTGTCTTCATAGAAGTCTACGCTTGATAACAAACAGCGATTACCCAGCTTCATTAGCGGACTATTTTGACGTTTAACTCGTCGAGTACCGGTTTTGTAGACACAATTATAGAACAATAGGTTGCGGTCACCGGTGACCGCTTGGTGTTTGACAGTTTAAATAGCGAGTAGATTTAAAATAAATAGTTGAACTATCAAAATGAACTTACATGAATAAGTAGCTCTGGTAGCCAACCTCACGATCCCGATGTCATCCTTTCTATTCTTGTTATTTTTAGAATAGCCAGGGTGGGGGTAAGCAGAAGCCACTCGAATCTCTTGAGGACGGTCAGCACAGACCGTGTCAATACAGTCCACATCTTGTTGAGTATCGTATTCGCCGAGTCGAACTGTCATTCTAAATAACGAAAGAGCATTTTAAATTGTTGGTACTTACTTTTATCATTTTGAGTTCTATTAAAAAAGCAGAATAATATAGAAATAGCGAGATTTTACTTTACACGTAAGCGCCTATCCACAGAAATAAACGAAACATCAAAATCGGTTCAGCCATTCTTGAGTTACCTATAGATATTTCATCTAACAGAACATACGACATATTATAGACTTTATTGTGACCATATAAAGTTTCAAATGCCTACATCTGTATTAAAACCCTTCCTTATTTAAGGATATGACATTTATCTAAACATAATACTACTTTACTTAGATTTATTGTTATTTTCCGTATATTGTTTACCACATGTGTAGATATTTGTTTTCCTCACAACGATACACTTGTAATTAAATTGTGTAATTAATTTTAAAATAACTGTAATTATACTTTGATTGGGTATGCTTCATTGCTGTGTACAATATCATGTCTAATTAGACTATACTTCCATGTTAGGTACTACACGGATGAATCTTCTATTAAAAAAATACAATGTCGTCTGCTGTTTTAGTTTTTGTTTTACTACTATAGGACTATCGTTTTTAGCATATCGGCTCGTGGCAGATATTCAATTAACCTCTTGTAGCCGTTATTTAAGATACAATAGTAAATGCATTGTGTCTCGCGTAGATCTAAGATCTCTACTATGCATATTACGAGTTAACGGCCGCCATCATAAACTATGTCAATCCAATATTCTCTGTATCGGAGAAACTTATTGACAGAAACTTCATACAATGGTTGTCAAAATCGAACTTAATCCAAAGACCCGAAGTTTCACCCGCACTGCTCGGATCCTATTGGTCGTAGCGAGAAGTTTTATAGCCTATAGCATTCCTCGATAAATGGACTATCCAACCCAAAAAGAATTATTCAATTCGAATCAGTAGTTTCGGATATTATCGCGTTCAAACAAACAAACAAACAAACAAACAAAAAACCAACTCTTCAGCATTATAATATTAGTATAGATTAGTTTCTACATATTTTGATAACAAGATGCACTTTTATTTACACAAAAATTAATTTACGTTATTTTACAACTGCCGTCATGAAGACCCGGAGGTTTAAAGTTGCGAGTTCGAAACCTACCAACGACAAGTACCGATGTGACTTTTTCCGAGTTATATGTACTTTCTATTATTATTTAGACACCACTTATAAACGGCGAAGGAAAACATCGTGAGGAAACCAGCGTATATATTTTAATTTCTAATTATAAGTTTG